CAAAGCAAAGAATACCAGAAAGATGTTTACTTGTGTTTTATTGACCATGCAAAGGCATTTGATTGTGTGGATCATGACAAATTATGGATAAAATTGAGAAGAACGGGAATTCCTGAACACTTGATTATGCTCATGAAGAACTTGTGTATTGACCAGGAGGCTATTGTTCTAACAGAACAAGGGGATACTGCCTTGGTTTAAAATCAAGAAGGAAGTGCGTCAGGGTTATATCCTTTCCCCATATTTATTCAATCTGTATGCCGAGCAAATAACCCAAGAAGCTGTACTATATGAAGAAGAATGTGGCATCAAGATTGGAGGAAGAATCATTAACAACCTGCACTACACTGACGACACAACTTTGCTTGCTGAAAGTGAGGATGACTTGAGGCACTGACTGATGAAGTTTGAAGAATACACTCTGCAGTATGGATTACATCTCAATATAAAGAAAAAAATCCTCACAACTGGACCTATAAGCAGCATCACGATAAATGGAGAAAAGATTGAAGTTGTCAAAGACTTCACATTGCTTAATTCTACAATTGATGCCAATGGAAGAAGCAGTCAGGACATTAGATGATGTATAGCACTGGACAAGTTGGCTGCAAGGGAACTTTTTCAAGTGCTGAGGAGCAAGGAAGTATCCTTGGGGACTAAGATGCGCCTGACATAAGCCATGATATTTTCAATCGCCTCATATGCATGTGAGAGCTGGACAATGAATAAGGAAGACTGAAGAAGAATTGATGCTTTTGAGTTGTGGTGCTGGTGAAGAATGCTGAAAGTACCACGGACTGCCAAAAGAACTGATAGATCCGTCCTGGAGGAAGTGCAGCTGAAATGCTCCTTGGAAGTGAGAATGGCCAGACTTTGTCTCACCTACTTTGGTCATGTTGTCAAAAGGGACCATTTCCTGGAGAAGGATGTCATGCTTGGTACGGTAGAGGGTTGGCAAAAGAAGGGAAGGCCCTCAATGAGATGAATTGACACACTGACTGTGATGATGGGTTCAGGTATAACAAGGATCATGGCGCTGGCACGGGACTGGGCGGTGTTTTGTTCTATTGTGCATGGGGTTGCTATGAGTCAGACACAACTGAACGGCACTTAACAACAACAACTCAAAAGATGAAGTACATAGGAATAAATCTAACCAGAGACACACAAAAACTCAACTGCCGTCAAGTCGTTTCCAACTCATAGCAACCCTTCCTTACATTTCCGAGGTGGTATCTCTATGGAAATAGATTGCCCAATCTTCCTTCCAAGGAGTGGTTGGTGGACTTGAACTGCCAGCCTTCTGGTTAGCAGTCAAATGCCTTAGGCACTATGCCACCAGAGACACAAAAGACCTATTCAAAGAAAACTATAAGACACTATTGCAATAAATGAAAAGAGACCTACATAAATGGAAGAATATACCATGCTTATGGGTAGGAAGACTTAACATCATAACAATGTCAATACTACCCGAAGTGAGCTACAGATACAATGCAATCCTGATCCAGATTCCATCATCATTCTTTGTTGTTGTTGTTGTTATGTGCCGTTGAGTCGGCCCCAGCTCATAGCGACCCCTCCTTGGGTTTCCGAGGCAGTATCACTACGGAAGTAGATTGCCCAACCTTCCTTCCAAGGAGTGGCTGGTGGGTTTGAACCACCAGCCGTCTGGTTAGCAGGCAAGTGTCTTAGCCACCAACTTTATATGGAAAGGAAAGAGATCCCAGATAAGCAAAGCACTTCTAAAGAAAAAGAACGAAGTAGGAGGTCTCACACTCCCCAGTCGAAACCTACTTGTTCTGGTTACCTTGTGCTGCTCTAACAGATATACCACCAATGGGATGCTAGGACACACAGGGGTGTATTCTCTTACAGTTTTGAAGGCTTTAAGTCCAAGTTCAAAGTGTTAGGCTCTATGGGCTGGGTGAAAGCCCCTCAGCCTTGGGCTTCAGCTCTGCCCCTGCTCCCGGCCCACAGAAGCTGGAGGCTTTTCTTCACTCAACTGCTGGCAGCTGAGGCTGACAAGCCCAAGGTTAACAAGTAAAAAGGCACAGTCCCAATGTTACCGAAGAACATAGCAGGCCACTAATTCAAGTCCAGATGAAGTCCCAAGATTAGCATGGCATGGCACGCTGTTGAACAAAGACTTGGTTACATGAAAGGTCAACCATGCCAAAAGGCTAGAGACCAATCCCAAAGCTGCTTCTTATATACAGGAAGCAGACCACATCCCTAAAGCAGCTACTCAGCTGCTTGTGGCAGATTCTACCATGAAGTTGATTGCCAGTCTCATCATGCGGATAACTGCCTTCAGCTGCCCAGCCACTCAACCAGGCCCAGCCAAGTTGACACACAACCTTAGCTACCACACTACTATAATATGATATTCACACAACATCCAAATGGCTTAACTTTCTATCTCACAGAACATATGGAAGTTAAGTGACACATGACTATTGTCTATTCCAGACGGTCAAGAAAAGCAGCTACTTTCTCTAAGCAGGACAGCAGTGACTAAGTGTGCTCTCCTCCTCCCCCACTCCACCTGGGCACACTCAGAGCTGAACAGCACAGTGGTGGGGACAATCTCCACAGAGGTCACCAAGGTGAGTACCATGGTCTGTGTGGACAACCCTGCTGAGACCAGCAGAAGCCTTACCCCTAACACGAAAGGTGGCTGAGACGTCCACTTGGCAAAATTGGCCTTGGGA